GTCCCAGACCACCAGTGACCTGCCACGGGAGAGGGTGAGAGTCATGTATGCAGGTGTGGACGTGGTACCGAGGTGGACCGAAGGTGAGAAAAACTGTGGGGAGAAGAGGAGAAGGTGAGGTGGCTGGAGGAGCCAGAGAAAATTCCAGAAGGATGGATGCCTGTTGAGCAAGCAAGTGGGGAGAGGGTCAAGAGGGGGACCAGTCGGTGGCCCTATGGCTGCAGCAGGGAGAGGCCAGCGGGACGTGGTCACAGGGAGCCCCTGGTGACCCCAGTGGTGTGCTGGGGCCGGAGCCAGATGGAGGGACCCGGGAGGGGCGGGGGCGAGTCCGTGGTGAACGTGATGGGAGTTCTGTGGACCAGGAGGGGTGGGCGTCGTGCGGGGGTTCGTTTCTCCTTAGGCCTCTCGCGTGTGTTCCAGGCTGGCAAGCAGGCAGGCAGGAGGAACTTCTCCAGCAGGAGAGGGAGGGGAAGTGTGGAGTCGGGAGCGGGGACAGGGTCACCGCGGGGCCTCACACCTGGGACAGGAGGGGCGGTGGCGCTCCTCGGGGAAACCACGGAAGGTGGTATTCATGACACCGTCAGTTTTATATCCATGCTGTGACCGTCACTTCTCTTCTGGGTCACCCCCCAAGCACCGCGGGCTGACCTGCCCCTGCTGCTGGAGAAGCCGGGAGCTGGTGGAGGAGGGCTAGAGCTCTGGCCCCCGGTAGGAAGACTCAGGAACACTGAGGAAGGCCTGAGCAGGTTGTAGAGCCCAGGTCAGAACTCCAGCCCGGCTGTCCACGTTCCAAGCATGATGTGTAACTGTTTAGTACAAGTATATCTCAAACAGCGCGTGGGATATACTCACGCTAAACGCGTATTCACTGTTTACCCGGAATTCAAATTCGGCCGGGCCATTCCCTTATTGTACCAGGTGACTCTGAGGTAGGGAAAGGGCTGACTGCCATCTGCGGGAACATTCGCTGCTCGAGGATTGGGGCTGGGATCAAAATATGGGGGATTTTAGAAGAAGGAGGCCACGCAAACATTTTCCGTTTGTTTTTGCGGGAAGGTCGTGCGGTCTCAGTCTAGGATCTCTCCAGTTCTAGGATCCTCATGAAGGGAATAGAGGACGTAAACGGAACGCCTGCACGGAGCACTAGGTCTGTCCCCTCGTGGAGCAGAACATCTTAGAGGGCAGGCTGGACTCAGGCCCATTTTGCTCTAACCTGGGAACCCACGTCGGCTCCCGGAGGCCAGACGATAAAGACTGTGATGCCCAGAGCGACCCCCCAAAAAGATACGTCCACATCCTAACCCCTGAAAGCTGTGAATGTAACCTTATGTCTTTGAAGATACAAAGAAGTTAAGGGTCTCGAGAACAGATCATCCTAGCTTTCAGACAGGCTCTACATCCAGTGACAAGTGTCCTTAGAAAGACAACGAGACACAGAAGAGGGAGGAAAGCCCTGCAAAGACACAGGCAGAGACTGGAGGGATGTGGCCATGGGCCGAGAGACCCCGGGAGCCACCAGAAGCTGGGAGAGGCAGGAGGGCATCGCTCCAGAACCTTCAGGAGGAAGACAACCTTTTCCGACACCTTGAGTTGGGACTTCCGGGCCCCAGAGCTAGGAGACAGTGGGCCTGTGATGCTCTGAGACACTCAGCGCGTGGCCATTTGCTGTAGCAGCCCCAGGACACGCACACGGCGCCCCAGAAGTTCCGCCAGGCAGAGGTGACAGGCCACCGGCTTCCAGAGGAGGGCGGCCTTCAGCCTCGCTAGACTGTCTGCCAGGAACCCCGGTGACGAGAGCCGTGGACGCCTCCTGGGGCTCTCTGCACCTGCACGAGTAATGGCTTCCACTTTGCCAATGACCCAGAGGGGGCAAACTGAAGTTCAACACCTGCCCGAGGTGGCAGGGAGCAGCAACAGGGCTGGGACCAGGACCTTTCGGGGACAGGCACTTAGGGCTTCTGGGAGAATCCCCTGCACGGGACCACTCAGCACCCGGGAAGCGATAACAAGGAGATCACTCTCAAATTAAAACCCAGTTTGTTTCAAATGAGTTACCGTCTTCCTTTCCTGCCTCTTTCAGGATGGCCAGCTTTCTCCTCTTCACTCTTCTCACTTTGCCCGAGGCGGCCGGCTTTCCCTGGCCCGCGTCACACTTCGCGGAATGTCTCTGCATATTATTCTGTCGGCGAGACGACACAGAGCACATGGGAGTCAGCATCACCGACGGAATGTCATTTCAAATTCCGCAGTTAGAGACCCGGGTACGGGAAAATGGGGCAACATGTACCTGGTAGAGTCTTGCACAATAAAAGGTGGCTTTTAGGGGCCCCCGGGTGGCTCAGTCAGTTGAGCGTCCGACTTCGTCTCAGGTCATGATCTCATGGTCCATGAATCTGAGCCCTTCGTCGGGCTCTGTGCTGACAGCTCAGAGCCTGGAGCCCGCTTTGGATTCTGGGTCTCCCTCTCTCTCTGCCCCTCCCCTGCTCACGCTCTATCTCTCTCTCAAAAATAAATAAGCATGAAAAAAAAATTTTTTAATAAAATAAAAGGGGACCCCTCTGTTGTGTTTAGGTCTAGCCAATTTTTTTTTTATCATAGAGGTCAATGAGAAGACAAAATCTGTTCTTCTAGAATGTGTCCCCTGTCCAAAGTGAGGTTTGATGTTGAGCCAGAAATTCAATAGATTGTCAATTTTAAGAAAATATGTAACATACCATGTATATTTTACTGGCCTGCCAGCTCCTCTCCTGATCTAACATGCGCGGGGTTATTTTTTTAATGTTTGTTTATTTTGAAAGAGGAGGGAGTGCCCAAGCAGGGGAGGAGCAGAGAGGGAGAGAGAGAGAGAATCCCAATGTGTGCTCTGAGCACACAGCCTGACTTGGGGTTCGATCTCACAAACTGCGAGATCACGACCTGAGCCGAAATCGAGAATCGAACACTTAACCGACGGAGTCACTCGGTCACTTGCCCCCACAAGGGGTAACTGACTGTATACACAACACTCAGAATTAAAAGGGAAGTCAGAGATTTCTCGGTCAAGACTATTCACCGATGTATTCTTACACGCGAACACTTACGATGGTTTAAATTAAGCTAGAAATTTTTCATCGTTTGGAAAGTTCATATGCTAAAGTAAGATACTGCTGACGTGCCATTCGATTTTCTGATTATATAAAACCTCCCCCCTAATTTCCACTGCAGCTTCAGTGGGTGCTCCACTGGACCGTCCTGGTTTATGGGCACAAGGGGAAGGATTCACGTGTAAGGAGAAGGGGGATGTTACAGGTCATTTAAACCGGTTCCATTCCGGGTGGGAAAACAATGACCCAAGGGTTCAATCCAGCTGGCCAACTGGATTTTGTAAAGCAAGTCTTCTGGAAGACTGCCGTGTCTATTCATTCATGAATTGTCCGTCTATAGCTGTTTTGGGGGCTCCAACAGACTTGAGCAGTTGGGCCAGAAAATGGTCTGCGAAGCTGAAAATATTACTACCGGCCCCATACAGAAGAACGCTGTCCAGTCCCTGGGTTTATATGATGACTGTGCACAAACTAAGCCTTTGGGGGCCACAGATTCGAGACTATGACGACAACAATGGCCCCTTCCCCAGCCAAGCACACACATACACGTGCACACACACACCACCTTCCTTCAAATTCATGAGGCTCCTGGCTAACGACTCCGGGCGTCGGTTTTGGATTAATAAGCAAAAACACGTCTAGCCTTTAAACAGTAAATGGGCTAAGATTTTAAGTAAACCGATATGACGTTTAGATTAGTTGCGACTCAGAGGGCAGAGCGATAGGACAGACATGTGTCAGAGGAATGTTTCTCAAGAGAGGAGGGAGCGAGCATTTGGAATCCAGGGCACGGGTCCTTTACTGGGGAGGCAGGGGGCCTTGCCCTATGACATTCAGGCACGGAGATACACTTGCCTGTTGCGTGTTAAAGAATGGAAGTTTGCGAGTGATTTACTTTCTAGAAATTAAATTGGATTCAAATATCCCAAGAGGCGCTTATTTATTTTATTTTATTTAAAAAAAAATTTTTTTTTAACGTTTATTCATTTTTTTGGGACAGAGAGAGACAGAGCATGAACGGGGGAGGGGCAGAGAGAGAGGGAGACACAGAATCAGAAACAGGCTCCAGGCTCTGAGCCATCAGCCCAGAGCCTGACGTGGGGCTCGAACCCACGGACCGCAAGATTGTGACCTGGCTGAAGTCGGACGCTTAACCGACTGCGCCACCCAGGCGCCCCTATTTATTTTTAAAGACTTCATATTTTAAAGTAGATTTAGGTTCATGGCATGTCTGGGAGGGAGGTCAAGAGATTTCCCTTATACCCCTGCCCCCACCGGCACAGCCTCCCCCCCCCCCATTATCAGCACCCCCACCAGAACCGGGGGTACATTTGTTACAACCTGATGAACTTCCTTAGACACATCATAATCGCCCAAAGTCCACGGTTTACACGAGGGTTCCTTCTTGGTGTTGTTCATTCTGTGCATTTGGACAAACGTATAATGGCAAGCATCTACTATTCTAGTATCACACAGGTTGGTTTCACTGCCTTAAAAAACCCTCCGTGCTCCATCTGTTCATCCCTGCTCCCCCACCCCTGGAAACCACGATCTTTTTACGGTCTCCACAGTTCTGCTTTTTCCAGAACGTCGCATCATTGGAATCATAGCGCATACCCTTTCCAGATTGGCTTCGTTCACTTAGTAATACGCGCTTAAGGTTCCTCCCTGTCTTCATGGCTGCATGGCTTGATGGCTCGTTTCTTCTCAGCCCTGGATAACACTCCATCGTCTGGATGGACCACAGTTCACTTATCCATCACCTACTGGAAGGCGTCTTGGCTGCTTCCGACTTTTGCCAGTTAGGAATAAAGCTGCTACGAACACCCACGTGTGGGTTTCTGTGTGGATTTACGTTTTCTACTCCTTCGGGTGAACAGGAGTGTGAGTGCTGGACCGTTTGGTAAGACGACGTTTAGTTTTGTAAGAAACCATCAAACTCTTCCCAAGAGGCCGTGCCACGTCGCATTCCCACGAGCAACGAATGAGAGCCTGTGCTGTTCACATCCTCGCCGACATCTGGGGTCGTCAGGGTTCCTGATTTGGGCCATTTTGATAGGTACGTGGTGGGGTCTCGTCCTAACTACATTTCCCTGATGATGTACGACGCGGAGCATCTTTTCACGGGCTTATCTGCCACCGGTGCGTCTTCTCGGGTGAGGGGTCTGTATGTAACAACGTCCTCGGCCCATTTATTAACCGGGGCGTCTGTTTCCTTAGGATTTTAAGTTTTAAGAGCTCTTTGTGTATTCTGGACGACAGTCCTTCATCAGAGGTGACTTTGGCATATATTTTCTCCCTGTCTGTGGCGTGTCTTCTCCCATCAGAAATTGTTCAGTTTATTTTATTTTTAATTTTTTAACTGTTTTTATTACTGAGAGACAGAGAGAGACAGAGCATGAGTGGAGCAGAGAGAGGGAGACACAGAATCCGAAACAGGCTCCAGGTTCCGAGCTGTCAGCACAGAGCCCGACGCGGGGCTCAAACTCACAAACCGCGAGATCATGACTTGAGCTGAAGCCAAGAGTCGGATGCTTAACTGGCTGAGCTGCCCTGGCGCCCTGGTCTGTAACCATTTTGAATTAATTTTTGCGAAAGGCATAAGGTCTTGGTCTAGGGTTTTTTTTTTTTTTTCCATGTGGATTCAAGTTCCTCTAGTACGTTGGCTGAAAAGGTGGTATTTTGTCCATTGCATCCACCTTTGCTCCTTGGTCAGAGATCGGCAGACTGTGTTCACAGGGTCTGTCTGGCTCTCTGCTCCATCCATGTGTCTGTTCTTTCACTAACACACCCTGCTGTGATTACTCTAGCTTTATTATTATTTTTTTAAATTTTTTTAACGTTTGTTCATCTTTGAGAGATAGAGTGAGACAGAGCATGAGCGGGCAAGGGGCAGAGAGAGGGAGACACAGAATGCAAAGCAGGCTCCAGGCTTGGAGCTGTCACCACAGAGCCCGACACGGGGCTCAAACTCACGGACCACGAGATCGTGACCTGAGCCGAAGTCGGACGCTCCACCGACTGAGGCCCCCAGGGGCCCCAACGGCCTCACCTATTTCAAATCCCACCAGCAACGGAGGAGGGCGCCAATTCTTATAATATTTCAAGCTTTTTTTGTTATTATTATATTTGTTACGGTGATCAGTGATCAGCTATCACAATTTGCCGAAAGCTCTGGTGGTTAGCATTTGTTAGCAGTGAAGTATTTTTAAATTACAATATATGCTTTTTTTTAAGGCATGTTGTTATTGGACACTTAATGGACTACAGCACAGCATCATCGTAGCTTTCGTATGCCCCGGGAAACCAAACCATTCTTTTGACTCACTTTATTGTGACGTTTGCTTTACTGCAATATCTCAATATCTCAATCTGCAATATCTCCGAGGGATGTCTGTATTCTAGATCCAAGTCCCCATGCGCTCTCTTGAATGCAAGAAAAACTTTCAAGACTTCTGACTGTTTGCTCTGAGGAATTCTATGAGGCCGACTCAACCCCTTCTCTGTTTTCTTATTCTTCCCACCAAAAGGCAGAATCTTTCCAATGTTGACCCTTGACAAGGCTAAGTCTGTATGAATGCTGTTTTCAGACTATTGTCACAAGTTGTATTTGAAATTTTGAACTAAGAGTATTAACACTCTGGAATTACCCCACTACACTACCCAGAAAAACACAAAGAGAAAAGGTATAAAGCTTTCCCCACAAAAATAGTCAACTACAGATAATTCAGAACTTTTATGAAGTGAGCCTGGAGCATATACACTGTCTAGAGATCTGGCTCATCATCTGTGGTATTTTTTTCAATGTCCACGAATTCTCTGACACTCTTTCTTTCAAAGGGAACTTCATCCTCCACCTCTTGGGTGTGGGCTGGACCTAGTGATTTGCTTCTTTTCTAAAGTTTTTAATGTTTATTACTTTATTTTGAGAGAAAGAGAGAGATCGAGAGCGTGCACAAGCTGGGGAGGGGCAGAAAGAGAGAGACAGAGAAAATCCCAACCAGACTCCACACCATCAGTGCAGAGCCCGCTGCGGGGCTCGAACTCCCGAACCGCGAACCACGAGATCGTGACCTGAGCCCGTCGGTCGCTTAACCGACTGAGACACCAGGGCACCCCTAGTGATTCATCTCTAATGAACAGAGGTAATGGGTCACTTTAAAAAGTAGGTGGCGGGGCGCCTGGGTGGTGCAGTCGGTTAAGCGTCCGACTTCAGCCAGGTCACGATCTCGCGGTCCGTGGGTTCGAGCCCCGCGTCGGGCTCTGGGCTGATGGCTCGGAGCCTGGAGCCTGTTTCCGATTCTGTGTCTCCCTCTCTCTCTGCCCCTCCCCTGTTCATGCTCTGTCTCTCTCTGTCCCAAAAATAAATAAACGTTGAAAAAAAAATTAAAAAAAAAATAAATAAAAAAATAAAAAGTAGGTGGCAAAAGTCACAGTGGCCTCCCCCTTGCTCCCTCTCGCTTACTCTGGGTCATGAGACCCCTTGAGCAGCCCAATGGAATGGTCCACGTGGTGAGGAACTGAAGACTCTTGCCAACAGCCATGGGAGGGCGCCATCTTGGGAGTGGACATCCTGATGACATCCTGACCGTAACCTCCTGAGAGACGATGAAGCAGACCCACCCAGCCGAGCCCCTCCCAAATTCCTGACCCACTGAAAATGTGAGGAAATAAATGTTGTTTTAAGCCACTAAGTTTCGAAACGATTTGTCATATGGCAACAGATCACTCACACAGCACCTAAAGAGAATAATGTCGAAGAGTAAACGCATTTCTTAGCAGAGTACCAACAATACTATTTGAAGAACATCTCTGAGACATTTCGAAAATTGCATTCTCTCTGGGAAACAGCCTAAATCTAATTCACAGGAACAATGTTAAAATGTTACATTTAAGAGCAGTGGTTCTTGTGGACTCCAGGGAGTATGAGAATTCTCTAAAATCATTTGCAAGGTTTTGTTTGTAGAGCCGTCTTTTTTCATGGAAAGGGGAGACCACACTTTCATATGATTTGCAAGAGCTTTGTGACTCCAAAAAAACGAATAACCACTTCCCCAAGGCCGGGCAGATGCCGTCTTAAGCCCTGGCAAGTTTCTATAATTGGGTTTAAACTCCCTGAGTGTGTCAGAGCCTGTGAAACAGAGGAATCTTTGCAAGAAGTAAGGTTTACTGTGAGTTAAGTGAGCTTACCCAGCGGGAGAAGCTTTTGCTACACTTGGGGCATTGGTAAACAGTCGGGATGAAGTCTGCATCATGGTATTTCCTGAAGTGCACATTTAGAAGTTGCTTCTGTCGGAAACATTTATTGCACGAGACGCAGGTAAATGGTTTCTCTCCGGTGTGGGTACGTATGTGAACGGTCATATGGCGTTCCTAGGAGAGAAGGGGAGGCAAATGAGAGGTTTAATATTTACAGGGATTTTGTTTTTAGTCCTTGATGTTATTTCTTTTTTTTTTTTTTTTAATTTTTTTCAATGTTTTTTAATTTATTTTTGGGACAGAGAGAGACAGAGCATGAACGGGGGAGGGGCAGAGAGAGAGGGAGACACAGAATCGGAAACAGGCTCCAGGCTCCGAGCCATCAGCCCAGAGCCTGACGCGGGACTCAAACTCACGGACCGCGAGATCGTGACCTGGCTGAAGTCGGATGCTTAACCGACTGCGCCACCCAGGCGCCCACCTTGATGTTATTTCTTATACACCTTTTTCCCTCCCTAAGGATGAATGCGTGATTACGAAAAATGATGGCACACACAATGTCAATGTGGTTAGTGATGCAGGCAACACGGTCTGGCTATCTAGGAAACAAACTTGTCCACCATCAGGCCACTGATGAGGGCCTCGCGGGTCCCACAGCCCCTCAGGGAATGTGGTAGAACATTCCTTCGGGAGGGAAACGATAATCATTTGTCCCTCCAAGAGGCCTCATGGACTAGCAGCCCTTCTTCTAGAACTATCTGCAATGACCCGAGTTTACAAAGGGCAGAAGGAACCTGCAAACTTAAAATCTAACATCAGAGTTTCAATTCCATGGCTATTTGGCGTTGGAAGTACATTACGCCTCTTACCTTCCTGATAAATATTAGGACAAACCTTAATATCCATTTAAAAGCATAAAGCTGATAATAACTGTTCTTAGCAAAGAAATAATTAGGAATTTTAACTAAGATTGACCCAAGTAAATAACCTGGAGAAGCCGGGGCACCTGGATGGCTCAGTCGGTTAAGCATCTGACTCTTGGTTTCCGCTCAGGTCATGATGACACCGTTCGTGAGTTCAAGCCCCGTGTCAGGCTCCGCACTTAGTGTGGAGCCTGCTTGGGATTCTCTCTCTCCCTCTCTCTCTGCCCCTCCCCTGTTCTCTCTCTTTCTCTCTCTCTCTCTCAAATAAATAAGCTTTAAAAAATTTTGGAAAAGCATGACAAAAATATGTATAAAGTCAAGCGAAAGTACCCATTTTATTTGTTTTATTTAAAATGCTATGACCGGGGCGCCTGGGTGGCTCAGTCGGTTGGGAGACCGACTTCGGCTCAGGTCATGATCTCATAGTCCGTGAGTTCGAGCCCCGTGTCGGGCTCTGTGCTGACAGCTCAGAGCCTGGAGCCCGTTTCAGATTCTATGTCTCCCTCTCTCTCTGCCCCTCCTCTGTTCATGCTCTGTCTCTCTCTGTCTCAAAAATAACTAAACGTTAAAAATAAAAAAAAAAATTAAAAAAAAAATGCTATGACCATGCAGAGGAAACACACACCCACTTCTGTGTTACTGTTCATAACCAAACTATATTTCTACAAGGTTTTCTCTTGGGGGGTGCTCTCTTCCCACACGTCTTGCCTCCACCCCCCTTCCAGGACAGCGTGGCCTTGGTGGGACATTGACTTTCAACGTGGGACTGAGCGATGCTGTCCTGGGAGGGAGGGTGAGAGGAAAGACATGTGGGGAAGAGGGTCCTTTTAGTACTCCATCACATGAAAATTCATTGATCTTATACTTTGAGTGAATCTTCTATCTATGCATGATTTTCTAAAATAACAGACTGGTCATTTGGAAAACTATCAGTTTACCGAGTTATGGACAGCTTCTACACGTTGTCACACTTCACTCCACTACATAAAAAAATGCTTTCTTAAAATCACTCCCATCTCATTAGAGAAGTCTTCAAGTGTCAGAAAGCTTGTCAAGCTCATGGTGGTGGATGTACAGATTTCTAATTGTAATTTCCTCCTGACAGATGAGATTGTATCTCTGGCAACCACATTTTCTTTGAAGTGATGGACTCACTTCATTTACTTTTTTTTTT